TTAGTGGTCTAATATTTTTTAGTTTAATAAGAAGCTTTCCCTCCTGTTTCCTCAAGGTTTTTTTCATGGAAGACATCCAGCTCTCTTCTGCTCCAGGAGCTGTAAATTGACGGCAAAATAAGAAATTAAAAGTACCTGAGGACTGACAACAGGTGCTTGGCAGGGTGCAGTGAGAACTGGGTTTGTTTAGCAGTGCTGAGCCATCAGCTCGCATGTGAATGCTTTCTCCTTTATTACTTAATTTCCAGCAGCAACAAAATGTTTCAGCTGAGACACAGCCATTGCAAGGGATGCTTCAAATACTTGCTATTATCTTCCTGTTTTCTTTAAAAATAGTTATAAGTAGAAATATCCTGAAGAATAGAGCAGAACAGAGGCAATCACCCCTATGATTTATTTTATGACAGTATAAAATTGACTTGCCTAACTATAGTCTAAGATTTAACAACATGGGAGGTGTCTCACACTTTTAAGGCTTGGTTTTTGGGTGGTCCGAAATATATTTGCTATTCCCCAAAATCTGAAAATCACTTGTCTAGAAAAAAGAAAATCTTCAGAAAAAACAGCACTTTTAATACCAACAAATACATTTAACCAGAAGAGATTTCATGCCACTAAGAAGTTCAGGGAAAAAAAAGGGGCTGATTTGTTGGCCTTATACAGGGAAAAAAAAGGTTATTAAGAAACCATAATACAGTAGTGACCTCACCCAGCAGATAGTGCTGCTGAGGGTAATAATTTTTTATGATCCAATCTGCTATCTAACTTTGGAACAACTTGGATGACACAGGTTTTTTAATGGATTGCTTAAAAATGAATRTTTCTGCATCAGAAGAGTGTTTTGGCTTCCTGAGAGAGTGATAGGTTATGGGCTTTGTTTTGATTCGAAAAATGGAAGATACAGATCTGAYAAAGGCAGGGCACAGGCAGGCCATGGCACTTTGGAAGGTTTGGGGAATGCATGGTGAGGAAAAGGAATGAAGAGGGGTGGGAAGATTGGGATCGCTAAACTGTTTGTGCAAGATTAGGTTTTTAAAATATGAAGTTTTTTAGAGATTAAGTTTTAAACAGAATTAGGTAGCACTTGTATGAGGGGGCTTTCAGTGACTTGGGAAATGACTTGGCTTTCATTCTAACATTCCCATTCACAGGTACAAAGGCGACAAGTTTTTTTTTTTTCSTTTTCTTTTAACAGGTAATGAGACTATATCCATTTAAAATGACTTCTTTTGTTTCCATCTGAAGCAGACCACTGCTGCAGCTGTTGAGGTTATGAGCATCTCAAGATCACCGAAAGGAACAAACGGGAAAATTGTCACTGGCAGAAGGCAGCAACCCTTCTGGTGCTGGGCTGMATCCTCTGTGCTCAGGGGATTGCAGTGGGGAGGGAAAAGACCCCCTGTYCCCTGCAGAGCACCCTCTGCTATGCTCTCTCCAAGAAATCCTGACGGTGATGGCCTCACTCATCACCACCCTTCACAGATGAATCCCAGTTTTGGGATTCAAAACCTGTACATAAACCTGACAGGGCTGTCATTCAGGTAAGAAGKATGAATAAAATAAAACCACTCAGTTTAGGAGATCAGTGACACACTGTGAACAACAGGCAGCACTAATTGGGGTTTGGTTGCATAATTTTCATGAACAATTCATTCCTGTATGGCAAAACATGCACAGCTGGTCATGGAAATCCCAAAGAACACCCTATTGGATACAGGCTTCTGTGACATTAAAAGTGCCAACCAGTGCTGCTCACATCAAACCACCAACTCAGCAAACTCAGATCCTCTGCAGAGGAGACCAAATAATACCTGAGGCAGCAGCTACAAAGAGAAAAAARGGATTGCTGGCTAGTGTTTGTGCAAGTGATTTGTCTTACAGKACAAATAGACACAAACAGATGATTGCTCATAATGCAGATCTGATTACACGCCATCGAGAGGGAAGATGGGGCTGTTATTTTGCTGTTTGTTTGCAATGAATGATTCTGTTAGTGCTGCTGAGAGCCGTGGCAGGAGATCCTGCCGGCAATCCCAGCGTCAKTGCTGAAACGGGCAAGCCTGGGAAGAGATGCTGTGCAAAACCACCAGGGGCAATTTCTAAAAATCCCCAAATATCCAAACCACCCAGCGATTGCAAAGTTTCCGCTGCRTGCAGAGTTGCACTGAAAGAAAGAAAGATCCTTGAAAGCATAAACTGTTTACTCAAATAGAGTCTAAAAGCTGAAAAAGCATTCAGCAAACAAAGGCACAGAGGACAACTGTTTTTAATTGTCTGCAAAACGAGTGTAAGGCTCTGAGATGTGACATCCCACGGCTGAGGGATTTCCTCTAATKTGCCACTGAAGCAGCAAACTGGGATGGTTATTACCCATTCAGCAGCAGCCACCTGCAGTGTGACAGTGGGAGCCCGTGTTAGAAGGGAGATGGATGGGGAATGGTTCAAATTTGGGCAARGCTGGGGGTGCATCCTCATCCCATCCGTGGCAGAGCCCGGTGTGACGAACAGGGAGGATTCCTCTTCAAACCAGCTGCACTCAGAGAGTGACCCGTGCAAAATAAGATACATCAGAATGGCCTTTTAAACAATTCTGTCAGCAAGGGACTTGSAGTTCACCACAATTTCTCTGTAGTCCATTAAAGAAAAAGTCTCTTAGACTTATCAAAGTCTTACAGGAAAACCAAGACTTTATTAAACTCACAAACTGATGATCTTAGAGTTTAGTGGCTTCATACTCCAAAATAAAAAAGAGTAATAGAATCATATCTTTCATGATAGGAATTCCTTTCAGGATCAGAGCAGAGCACACAGGGGTAAGGGGTAAGGTAATTTCCATCCCTGCTAGGAAATATGTCGGTGTTAAAGAAATGCGTGTTTATGTGCACAGATAGAGAAGGTTAACACAGATGAATAAGTGATACATTATAATTGGGGTTTKGGGCCCATTATTCTCAGCCTTTGATGCAGTTTTTCTGGGGCCCAGCTGTCCTGTGGGTTCCTGAGAATGCCTTCCTTTCACTCTAGAGGTACCTGTGGTCAGCAGTGATCCTGGAGGTGTGAGGTACCGATTCCCAGGGGAGGTGGCCTCACTGCACTCTCTGCACTGCTACAAATCAACAGCATTGTGCTCATTTAAGGGAAAAGAGAAGGGGAAAAAAAAGGCCAACATTGCTTATTTTCCCCCCTTTCTTTAAATATAAATACTCTTTAGAGCAATTTTCCAGGTCAGTTTTGGTCAGTGGTTTGACTGATTGCACAATTTCTGTCAAGCTTCAGCAGTAAATGGCAGAAGTGTGGTGTTGCCCAGGCAATGCTGCCCAGCATTCACATGGGACCAGCCTGAGACGTGTCTGAACTGAAAAATTCAACACCTGGCTACCTCTGTGTCCTCTGTCTCTCTGCCATGGATGGAGTTGCTCCTGTTTCTTCAGCCTGRTCGGAAACAAGCCAGTCTGAAATCCACTTTTGAAAACTTCCCTCTAAAGTGACAGCAAAATGCTACTACATTGATTTAAACGGGTTACAAAAGAAAAGCCATTTTTCTTAAATATATTAGAGACTTTTGACCTTTTAAAAATAGATAGTTGACACTTTCTCCTGTCAGTTTTCCTCGTGAACATGAAAAACTTGTCTCCCTACCATGATTTATTGAACCCCGGGGAGTTACAGGGTAATATCTCTTAGCAGGTATTGACGTTTCAGAAATGAAATCAAGCACYGACTCTTCTCATCATCTCTTTGCTTTGCTGCAGATACACACAMGTGTTGGACTGGCCTTTCTAAGTAAGTGGAATATTCATTTAACTGACTGAACACTAACAGCAGCTTCACACTTAGAGCATGATGTGTAAAATCAGCCTTTGAGGGAGATTATCACGARGTTTCAATGCTCTGCCTTCCTGTCTTCTCCAAAGGAGCATAAATCCCAGTTCTCAAATACATCTGTGCAGGCATGGGAAAAAGTAAAACGCAAATTTCCACAGGGCAGGCAGAGGCAAAGGGGATTTTATTTCTATCRGTGCTCTAGCACCATGCCAGCAACCCAAATGAAAGTCTGTGGAGAGTTTGGTTGCATCAAATTAAYTGTCCATGTAACGGTTTTAAATTGGTCTCTCTGATCTGAAAAAGCACACTATTAGTCTGCAGAATTGGAGCTGATAACAACCAGATCCAACAGACGAAGCTACATCGTTATAAGAATTGATTTTATAATCAGTACAGTTTGGGGGGATGGATATCTCCTCCTACTCCA